CACTCTACTGAGGAATAGCTAACTATAAGAATCCAACTTCAAAAGCAACAGTGGTGTCTGTCAGCCACGCATCCATCATATCTAACAACTATATGAACCCATACAAACAGTGAACAGATTAGATACGCTATTAGGTAATTTGGCAGCAATATCTCAATAGTATCCTTTCTGGCGCACAAAGTGTCTTTGAATAAAATGATGCTTTCACCAACATGAAAAGCATCGATGCCAAAAGCAGAAAAGAAAGAAGAAAAAATTAAATTAAATGGCATCATAAAAAATTATAGAGAAATGCCTCTTACAAACAAGTTAAATTACTTCGCTGCCTGGAATTAGTAGGCTAGGTGAATAACTGAGAAAGTCATTGACCAAGTGTCTCATCTTATATCTACACCAGTGACGTGCGGTGCGGTTCATGGCTGGTGAGGCTCTGACTTACTGATTTACAAATATATGCACTCTACACAGTCGCATATTCGCTATTTGATTGGCAGCAGTTTACGGGTTATGTTTCATATCTGCATGTTTTACACATACAAGCTGTAGCCCACAAAATGTTTATTTTTTCTTTTCTTTTCTTTTTCTTTAAGTATTGCGGTCTAACCTTTACCTTTAAATGAAGTTCATGCTCCGCTCCTTCTGGACAAAAACATACGTTACTTTTTTGTAAAAGTCTCCTTATCTTCCTTCGCTGCACTTGACTTGCTAACTGTATACCGTACCTTGGCTGTGTCCGAAATCACTCCCTATGCCCTTATAGTGCACGATATAGGGTGCACGTCATTTTGTAGGGGTGTCCGAATGTTAAGTTACAAATGCTACACCCTATGTAGTGCACTCAAAATATCCCACAATGCACCGTGAAAAGTAGTGTACAGCCGATGGTCATTAACCGAGCAATATGGACCGTCATGCATTGCGCGAAAGGAAATGGAAATGGAGATGAACGAGAGCACAGAAAAATTCCCATTTATTTAGTTAAATTTCATTTTACCCGGACAGTGAATGTTGCTAAAATTGCGACGCTCTGTTGTGATTTGGACATACAACACCACTTTATTTAAATTGCTTTAAGTTACCTGAAGAAACGCTCTCCCATCTGGTATGTACAGCAAAATGACAATAAATTTGATTTAATTTGATTTCTTAGGTACGCAATAAACTGTGAATTTGATGTGTTTGTACTACGCTGTTTCAGCACAAATCGCGGCTAGCGAGCGACGTAATTAATAGCTTGAGTAGTGTCCGAAATGATACTTTGCCGAGGTGCTCACTATATAGTGATCACTATATGGGGAGTAAGGAGTGAGTGGGTGATTTCGGACACAGCCCTAGTCTAGTCTGGCTTGCTGTCACTTACTCTGCAGCCACGGAGTCACAAGAAGCATGTCTGGGATCAGAGCGCCCCCTGCCATGAGGCAAGAGAACTGCCTGCCTCACCTTGAACCTCTTCTCAACTGCTTTCTGATCGCTCAGCACACGAAACACGTTACACACATACAGTTGGTAACAAAAAACACTGTACATTATTATATACATCAGCTAAACTATAGAAAATCAGTTCATATATTAAATGTGTTTGAAACATGTCATTGGCGACATCCAAACAGCAGCACGCTGTCACTGCAGGCAGCCAGCGCAGTGAGGGATTGCGCAATCCAAGGCTTCTCTTCCAAGCATTTGAACGGGAAATTGCGAAACTTCGATTTTTAACGAATTTAAAAATCATCAAAACTGGTGAGGCTAAATGAAAAAATAAATACTTTGTAGTGCAAATATAAATTTAAATGGATAAATATAACCATTTAAATTATTTTATCACTATATGCTTTTCTTTCCGTGATGTCAGGTGAGGCTCTGCAAAGAGAAAGCTACTGTTGCAAAAGCTCACATAAGGCCTGATTAAAGTTCACCAGAAGGCGTTTGACTGTGACTGTGAAATTAATTGTAAGATGATTCTTTGATCTGATGAGACTAAAATTGAGCTCCTTGGCCGTAAAACTAAACTCTACATTAGGCAGACACCAGTTACTGCACATAATCACAAACACACCATCCTCATCGCAAAGCATGATGTTGGCAGCATCATGATGTGGGGATGCTGCAGCAAGTCCTCAGAGACTTGTGAGGGTGGAATGCAGCAAAGTGTAGGGAATAATAGAGGCCAACCTGGTACAGTCTGGAAGAGAGCTGCAACTTGGGAGAAGAATTGTTTTCCAGCTAGAAAAACGCCTAAAGCATACAGCCGAAACTACACAGAAATGAAGACAACATAAGAAAGACACACAGAAAGCTAAACATTGTGGGGTGGTTCAGTCAAAGGCCAGACTGCAATCCAATTGAGAATTTATGGCTGGAATTGAAATAGGCTGTTACCTCACAATCCCCAAGCAATGGGATAGAGTTTGCAAAGAAAAACGGGGTAAATCTGTCGTGTCCATTGTGCAAGTCTGAGTGAGACCTATTCACACAGGCTCAATGCTATAATTGTGGCCAAAGGTGCATCTACTAAACAGTGAGTTGAAGGAGGTGAATACTTATACAACCACTTATTATTTACACTACCTATAATTTTATATTTTTAATTAATTGACACTACTTTGTCAGAAAGTGTTTTTACTTTGACATGAAAGAATATCTTTTGTAAATTCTTGTCAAAAAAAGTCAGATTAAACTGATAATAATTCAATATTGAAAAGCAATAAAAAGGAGAACTCTCATATATAATAACTGATCAGATCTATTTAGCTTTTCTAGACACGCTTTACACTGTCAATTATTCATTCACACACATTAATTACGGTGGTAGTTGCTATGACTGTAGCCACAACTGCTCCTATGGCCCCTTCGACCACCACCTCAAACAATCCATTCATGCACATTCAAACCAGGTGGGTGAAGTGTCTTGCCTATGGACACACGGAATGAAACAAGGAATCGAACCACCGACCTTCCGATCATTGACCGAACCGCTCTACCACCTGAGCCACAGCCGCCCCCGATATATAATTCTGTCTCTGTTTCCATTGTTAGTCCATCTGTTGACCTGTCTGTGGTCTAGTTAGTACTAAGTTTTCTGTATTCTTTTGTATTACTTTGTCCATAGCTTCAGTTTGTTCAGGCATAATCATAAAGGACACTCTCCTTTTCCCGAACCTGGGTCGATCAACAGCTCTCCTGTTTCCAAGTTATTTCTTTTGACTGAAGGCTGGCATCTCCTTTTCTCCTGAATGTGCACCAGTGTTTGTGCAAACCTAGCTCAGGCCCCTACAATATTTGATCAATGCCAATGCTAGGTCCTTGCAGTGGTTGGTCAGCTTCAAGCTGAGGTCCTTTCCACGGTTAGCCGTCACAAAGACTGTTCCTGAATTGGTTGATATTTCCCCTCTTCCTAGGTCAAAGTCAAGTGATGTCTCCCCGTACCTAAGTCAAAGTTGGCTGATATTTCCTATGTTCCTGAGTCTGTTTCTGACTCAGCCAATACAAAGACTGTACCTGAGTCAGTTGACTTTTTTCTTGTTTCTCAATTAATCGATTCCTAGGTCAGTTTTTAGTCAGCAGAAAACAAAGCCTGTTCTTGAGTTAATCAATACAAACACTGCTGCCTGACACTTCCGCTGCTTCAGAGTTGGAAAAAAATGGAGTTATGTGAGGAGTTGGGCGTGGGACCAGAATGTGGTTTTTCAGCTAAGAACGGGGTTAGGGGGTGAGGTATCATTTGTTCGGCTACCGTAGTAGCAGTGCAGTTCAGTTTTAAAGGTGGCTGGCTTGATCACAATTTGCCAAACTGTGGTCTGCAAACTGCAGTAATCAATGCATAGTATCCTGTGTATTCTGTAAAAGTGTGGAAAATCATTAGGGCATGTTAGCAGTGCTATAGAGAACGTTTCCTGTTCTTCAGCAGCACAAACTTGACTTAATATTTTTGGTAAAAACCTAAAGACTCCTAATTACAGGCTCTCTCTAGCCTCACACTCACCTTTCCAGAAGCTAAGAGTTGCAGAATCGGACATGGGATCAGGTGTAATCATGGAATCTGAAACTTCTTTCAATCCTGCCTGTGTCCCTCACTGTTCTCACGATGCAGCTCAAAAAAAAAAACTTGGGACAAAATCTATAACAAAGTCTCTATTGCAGTTCAAGGGATGAACTTGTCTGTCTGCACCTTTACAAGTGGCCACCACAGCAAAAGTACCATAATGTATTAATTTCTGCTGAAAGTATGGTGCCTCCATACTAATGCACACACACTCACACACTTATCACACACATGTAAAAACACAAATACCTTCTGATACACACACACATTCATACATGCATTCTCACAGTCATGTAGCCTCATATTTATACACACATATTTTCACACCATGCATGTATGTATGTGATTATGTGTGTGTGCGTGTGTGTGTGTGTGTGTGTGTGTGTGTGTGTGTGTTTGTGTGAGTTTATGCATGTATGTTAGTACATGCCAGTATGTATGTACATGCATGTACTGTATATATTTATGTATTTGCACGACAGTATACATTTTCAATCCCTTTTTTCATCTACACAGACTCTTAGTGTAGCACTGACATCTGTTTTAGGAACATGCCAGGGCCGAAAAAACTACTTGGTTAGAGCTAGGAAAATACTGTATTGGAGTCATGGTCAAAACAAACCATAGAACTTGTCTGTAATCCAGAATCATTTCATGAGCAATTTGTGAAAACAAATTGTTTACCTGCCAAAGCGAGTGACCAGCATGCCCACAATGAGGGAACCCAGCAGACCTCCAATCGCGAAGACAGACACAGTGAGAGAGTACATGAGGGTCAGGGTCTCTCCACTGAGGCCTGTTCCATTACGACTCACCACTGTCTTGTTGTAGAAGTCCTTTATGTACTGATAGAAGAAAACAGGACAGAGGAAATGTCAGATGACAAACATAGCACAAGAGGGAAACACTGAAAAAACCACAGTGTATGAATGCAAAATAATTTAATAATTACAGACACACTGAAGCTTCAAGTTTAGTTGGTAGGTTAAGGGGGTGTCATAGTGTTGCAACTTTCTGATCTACTGGCATTTTCTCCAACTCCAACTTTACAAATACACATAGTTAGAGCTCTGCAAAGTCTGCTTATTTTTTTTTATTTTTTTTACCACAATGGGAATAGTTGCAGAGAAATACATTCATTATGCAGCAAAAGTGCATTCAAATGAAAGAACAATGCACACAGATATCATGAAATTGTGTAAATGATGGGGATAAGATGCAGATTTGCTGTAACTGGCAGGAAGGCAGTGGTGTGTTGCTTGACCTGAAAACTGAGTTACATTTTCAAAAAGGTCTACATATAGATTTGATTCCAAAAGTATTTACACCTTTACATTTAAATAAAACAAAACTTTGTGTTATAGGTTTAATTTTAAATTTTCTCTTTTTGCCCATCACACTTCTCTCAAAAGCTATACTTCAAACAAAATAGTTTTATTGTTTGTTTTTTTTGCGAATGTAGTAAACTTAAAACCTGGTAGTTCTGGTTATATTTATGCACGAGGACAACTTAGTGAGGGTCAGGAAACTATCAGGGTTTGGGTTAAAAAACAACTTTGTTAGGGTTAGGGAACTTTCAGCATCCTAGTTAAAATTATTATTGATAATAATAATAAGGTTATGAAGAACAATTAAAAACCAAAAACATGACATCAGCTGATAAAGATGGAATTTATTTGTTTGTATTGAAAAAATAACCATTGACTGTACAATCAAATCTCTTTTAAAACTTGTACTTTGGCTGACAGAATGAAAATGGCACAGGGTACTTGAGATAAACACAGTTTACTCACGATAGACCAGTGTCGGATTTCACAGCTTTCCTAAATGCTTGAAAAATTGTCAATCCAAAATATAGATACTTTGTAAAAAAAAAAAAGACAAATTGCTAAGTGAAGTCAGAATTGTTTTTAGACAGCGGTTAGCACTGCCTCACAGCTTGAAACTCCTGCGTTCAAATCTCGGCCTGGATCTTCGGTTGATTAGGTGATTCTAAACTGTCCGTAGGTGTGAATGTGAGTGTGCTTGGTTGTCTGTCTCTCTGTGCGACCCTGTGATAGACTGGTTACCTGTCCAGGTGAACCTGCCTTCACCCTGAGTCAGCTGGGATAGACTCCAACCTCCCTGCCATCGCCTATGCGACCTGTATCTGGTCCTTTCATGACAGTCTGAACAACACGGATCCAATTAATGATGAATATCCAAATATTCAGTGTGGTCAGGGAAGGGGGGTACTTCCACCCTGGGGGAGCGCTCCGACAGGGTGGAAGTGGCTGAAACGCACAGGCAGTACTTGGCTGCTGATGCCAGTTTAGTTAGCGGTCACAGTTCTGATTCCACCATTGCCGGCGACAGCAGGGGAGTGGCAGGTACACTCCACCATTACCATCCATGTTTACTTCCGTAAACACTGAGCACGCCCGCTGCGTGTGACATTGTTGTGTCCTCTTCTGTGCATGTGGGACACTTTTGGGTCTTGTGAAGTTCACACAGCAGATCACATACAAGTCGCATTTAACTGGAAATGTGAACAAACTCGCAAAAAAAATGTTTTTTTTGAAAAACAAGTTCCTCTTGTTGGAACCAGTCCATGTCCACTCGCTGTCTGGACATGGGTTCTCTAATCTGCCGTTACACAATGCAATTATTCTGATTTGCTGTTCACACCATCCTGTTCTTAAATTGCTGCACAGGTGTTTATTCACACCATTTGGCCAGCACAATAAAATGTAGGGACAGTGTCACCTGGCCCACCTGTTGGAGTTCTTCCATAACATTTTCTCATACTGCTCCTCAGCATGCAGAGAAACTGCACTTGCACTTAGCAAGACATCTCCAACCTCAAAGAAAAGCAAATACTGCTTAAACCAAAATATAGACACACTATATTTAGCCACTGACAAAGTTTAATATGAAGTAGTTGTTGCAGGACTGTGGGAATGTGTTGATTTCAACATGCTTTTCATCAACAGAGCACAAACACAATGAGAAGATCTAAATTCTTCAGAAACACTGTGCTAGGTCTGCCCACTGTGCTTAGCACACCTCAGGAATAACAACAATGGCATGGTGCTACCACAGGCACTGTATGTGATAATAAAGAAAGAGGTGCAAAGTCACAGCCAGCCTTTTCGGGTGTTCTGTGGTTTTTGTGTTTGATATGAGGGGCATTGGAACCATCTGTGTGACAGGCTGCTTATTGCCGTAAGAACTGAACTGCCTGTGTGTCCACTGTCTGCTTTCAAAATCTGTGTTACTCATACAAAAACCACAAATTGGTCTTGAAGCACCGATGTGCAGGAGCTCCTTTGTAACACTGATAAAACTGCCTCTGGCTCCATTGCTGGCATTTGAAATTTGGTGGCTGCACTATGTCTTTTTAATACACAAGTCATGCACTAGTCAGTTGGCTGAAACCAACCAGGAACCAGCCACCAAAGCAGAAGAAAGAATAAAGATAAAATGCTGGAGGGCGATGTGTGTGTGTGTAGCTCCATGCTCACAATGTCAGTCGTCCTGACTATGAAAACACAAGACAGACCCAGAAGCATTTGGCAATGAAAGCTGTCCACTATGTGTTCAGTCTGGTTTTCCTTGTGAATCTCCAGATGTTCTTGGAAAATATGTGCACTGGTTAGCTCATTCCCTGATTTGCTATGTTAAAGTGAGTTTAGCACTTAATCCTCAAGTGTCAGACATTGTCTAATAGTGATCATTTGAACTAACCCACTGAGCCAATCAGACAATGTTCATCCTAAATAGAAATGAAACATTGTCCTTGTCTGTCATGTGGTTGGGATATCTTGGTGTCGTGTCACAAGACCAAGATTGACTTTTTAAGTTTTCATCTCTTTGTGGAATCACATCCAAATGTATTAATATTGTTTTTTATTTTAGCCTAAAAATGAGTTTACTGTGTTAGCCAGCATCGATTTTCCTCCCTGCAGGAGGAAGACGAGATATGTGCATATAGATACCACCTACATGCTTGTGAAATATGTTGCTACCGCACTATTGTTCTGAACATTCTAAATCATTTATATATTAGTTAAAATAATAGAAGATTGTCAGGCTTTTGTTACTCATGGATGCAGACACATGTATATATGTCTATGGGTCATACTTGGTAGCTTGCTATCAGAAAGGCCATATTTTTGTTAATTTCAGTGTGAAAGACATTCAGAGATTCAGAACACATTACACATGATTGCACATTCACACTGACACCAGAAGACATGGCCACCGTCTTCACAACAGTTCGACAGTTTTCTATTGTGTCCTAAACATGGTTTTCCAGGCTGCAGATTTTCCATGTAGCTCATTCCGTCTTTTGCTGGATACTACAACCCATGCCTCCTTTGGAGTGAATGATAGGAAACACAACATTAACCACATCACTAAGCTTACACTCTGTGCCATGGTAGACATGTTGTTTCGCCAAAATCAGACTGTATGCTATCTGTAGAGTTCTCAACTGATCTCACCCTGGGACTCACATTATGCCATGGTCTTTAGTCGCAACCCAATTTTTTTTTTAGAATTCAATATTCAATATATTTTCCTGTGCAACATGTATTTCAGAGCATATAACCATGCATAGTAACTGGACCATGACAACTGCATGTACAAAACTGCACAACATTTTAAAAAAGGGCACAAAACAAAATATTTTCACTCCATTTTGAGCAAATGAGAAACTAAGGATGACCATGATAACTGCATGTACAAAAGTGAATAAAAATAAATATCAAACTACTCGAAAATAAAATTTTGGCCTAATCAGGTCATTTGTTGAAGTTAATGAGACAGTTGGACACGTGCTCTACTCTTGAATAGAGTTTCAGAGTCTGGGGTGACACTAGACAGAGCTGCTCTCAGATCATGCTCAGTGTCCAACCTGTTTCTCTGCTGTGACCTGAGCTGGACCAAGGTAGAGAAGCCACTGTCACACAGATAGGTTAAGCTGAATGGTAAGATTGTTTTAACTGCAGGAGTGGTGAGGGATAGATACTCAGCCATCACATCACTGCACCAGAAGTGGGAAAGGCTTACCTCCCCAAATCTCTTTTTCAGCGTCTGATCACATGACAGCTCCAGCAGCTGATGCTCTCATGCAGCCACATTTCGTTGTCAAACAGTTCTGCGTACAGGGAGTTAGTCTCAGAGAGGAATGTGGCGATTTCTGATTTAAGTTTGTAAAAGCGTGACAACATTGCCCCTCGACAGCCAGCGGACTTCTGGGTGCATGCAGGCTCTGATGGCCTGGAAGTGGCGGGACGCAAAGGCAGCTTGTGGCTACTAAGACCAGTTTAGGTGTTTACGTTAGCGTTGACAGCACCGTTTCCGTGGCGGCAGGGGGAGGGAGCTTATTATTCAGACGGGGGATGTGGTCATACTTGCGCTTTGCCATCTTGCATCCCAACATCAACACAAACTTGAAGTGAATGACAAACAAACTATGGTTACCATGCCTGTCAAAAAAAAAGTTTTTTCAAAATACAAAAATAGGTCCAATCTGAGATGCACATTATATATTATTTGATTTTGATCAGCTGTCCGCGACCCACCCAGAACAGGTCCGCGACCCACTTTTGGGTCGCAACCCACCAGTTGAGAACCCCTGCTGTAGAGACTATCAACTGTCCCACTCACTATTTTATTATTGCAGTGGTTGTATTGAAGCATGCCACTGATTTAACTAGCATTTATTCTGCCATTGCAATGGATACATCCTGCATTGTAAAGCAAACAGGACAGCATTAAATACTAAAACAGGCAAAACAGAATTCTAGCTTGTAGAGTCAATTTCTAAAATAGGATAAATACCGAATGCTAAAATAATCAGACCACTAAAGGCAACCAAAAGCCACTGCAAACATGTATGTTTTGAGATTTTTCTTAAAAATGTCAGTGGCGAAACATTTGAGTGAGAGGCTGTTCCAGAGCTTTGGAGTTACTACTGCAAAGGCTTGCTCTCCCTTTTCCATTCGTCTTAATATTGGAACACTTAAAAGTAACTGTTCTGAGGCCAATGAGGTCTTTACCCGTATACCTCTAGCTACCAGCTATCTAGTTCACTGGCTATACTAGTTGATTGTTACTAACAAACAGTGATAGCGTGATCAATGTTGAACGGTGACAAACACTCAGAGTGAAACCTGAAAAATCGTGTCCAGAATTAAACTTGATACCAAATAACCACACTGGCAATTTATTAATTGGTGCAGCAAATCATCATAGTCAACAAAAATCAGTGACCAAATTAATTTCCAACAAATTCAGTTGTTGATTAGTTGGTAATGTAATTGTGTGTGGTTTTGTGCTGACTGAGAATGCACCTACAGGAAACATTACCGCTTACTGGAGTGAAGTGTGTAACTACCGGATGTGAGTCACTGCTCAATGTGATTATATAAAAAACAGACAGTCATGGAAAAATGATTAGACCACCAAAACAACAAGTTAATTGAGGATAGGTTTTTTATTTATTATGTCATTACCTCCTCACTGCACTGTATATGTTTTGCCTCTTTTGTATATATTTGGAATTCTTAATATAGTCTTGTTTTATATGTGCATTTGATGTTATTGTTTCTGATTGATAATTTAGCTTGTTCAATGCACCGTCGAGAGGCAGCTACTTATATTTTCGTCATGTCCCCATGTGTGATGACAATAAAGCTTTTCTATTTATTCCAATATTTCTGATCTTTCTGCATGTGCTGAGGCTAAAGAGACTCATTCTCACTAACTGGGCCAGAAGTTGCATTCCTTCTAATAAAGTGCTGTACGACATGCAGTTCACATTCCTCACAATGAGCAGCCCTTCACAGACACAGTTAAGCTCTTTAACTGTTCACATTCCCTGTGTGTGCCCAGCAGTCACATTCTGTAATAAAGTAAATAAACACACACAAAATAAGCATGGACAAGCTATCTGCTGTCACAATGCTAACATATGCACACAGATGTTAAATGTTTCCATTCCCAAACGGACAGGTGTATTGCAAAATATATAATAAACTGTAATAGTTGTTAAAAACTGATTTCCAGATTAACCTGAAGCTCAGTTTGTCTTTTCTTCCCAGACCATTTCCTGTCTTTGGCCATACATTTCAGTATATCTACACAGTTTTAATCAGAATAAAACATTTTCAGCTCAAGAAATATACATTTTCACCTTGTTTATGCAGATTGTGTTTCTTGCTTTAGATATTCAGTTCAATTTGTGTGTATTCATGCTTCCTGTAAAGCCCCTAAAAAATATTACAAATTCATAACTATGTAACCAATAATTACTGTTAAAGTTGTACACCCCTGTTATAGTTGTGGTAGGACTTTAAGAGTTTAACTCCTAGTACACTGAAACAGAGGTCTGGCAACTTAAACAAACATCCCATACCTGTCGTCACATTTTGATTTAGTGCTTACTAAATTCCGATTAGTGTAAAATATTCAGCATCAGTTAAGGTTGTTTCTTTGAATAAATCAGCTCAGCAGACCTGTCCCACTCCGACTACAGCATTACATTGAAAACTTGTGATTACTGATATATTAGATGTTTGTATGCCCTTATATTATGCAGTTTACAACAGAATATATGTTGTATGGTTGGTGATGATGTTTATTAGAGCAGCTAAACACATTGTATATTGAAATTGCTAGTACCTCCCACACAGCCTGCTACTGGCATTGACGCCCTAACACACTTGAACTTGTTCTATGGCACCCATCCAGGTTGTTTTCTCCTGACTAGATCCTTGCTTGCGGTGTATCTGCTCTCAGATGTACATCACTTTGGGTAAAAGCGTTTGCTAAATGAAATTGTAGAAATGTAGAAGATTAACACTGGACTGATTTCATTCTTTAAGTATTCAATAATTAAAATACTTCTGGTAAGTGACAAATGAGGATTTTAAAAATAAGATCCATCCATCCAGGACGACGGCAGAGTACACCCAGATCAGGACACAGGTCGCCAGTCCATCAGAAAGCAGATCTGTAGATGTGAAGCCTTGAAAGTCGAAATAACTGAGATATCCGTAATTATGATACTTTATACATGTACTGCGAGTAATTGATCATTGTATCACAAACTAAACTGAATTCAGTTGACTTAGTCCACACTAGTCTACACTTGGTTAACTTGCTTTTTATCAGAGTTCATTCCACCAACTGACAAGAGGACCAATAAGGCTGCCCTTGCCTGACTGCAAATGAGGCAAAAATATTTGATGTTGAGTTCAGAAATACCTACCACACTCTTTCTTTTCAAGTGAATATTTCAGTCACAGCATGGTGGGATTAACCTGTTAGAGGGACATGTTTGCACAACATGCCAGCAAAACTGCAGGGTCTGCCTTATAGCTGATGCTGTATTGTAGAGATGTGAATTTCTAAACACGTGCAGTTAATTAAATGAACAAAAATTATTTGACATGCAAGGAAGACAGGAGTGTGTGTGGGTGTGTGTGTGTGTGTGTGTGTCTCTTACCACAGCAGGGGAGTTGACCACGGCCAGATTGTAGCCATAAAGCATGGAGCTCCCAAAGGAGGTTAGGAATGCTACTGCCAACAGAGAACTGGTCAGGTGCTGCAGACAGAGGATGAGAAATATTTTTGAAAGTGCGCGATACTAAATGTAGGTTTCATCCAAAGAACAGTGGGGAAACAAACCCTTTTCATAAAACAAATGTCTGGTAGTCTTTACCTTACACCAGTTGTACTGTTCGCGCTAAAGTTTCACCAAAACAAACTGCATTTTGCCATCTTGCTGAAAGTGATGTGCACGAGGATTTTCTCTCACCATGTACTCTACATGCCAGAAACGATGCCTTCTCTCTGCTTAGTCACTCAGTCACCCCTAAAAAAGCATGCATCCTACTAGGACAGGACAAGTATGACAATACTGAAAGTTTTTGACTGCTTGTGCTTATACTGAGTAGAGTTTCAAAGGATTCCTAACGATTTAGTAGTTGTCAGGGTATGGTGTTCAGGCAGTGACATGAGACCCGTTTCCCATCATTCAATACAACCAACAATCGTGCAAATAAATAGGGTTTATTCATTTCAAAATTCATTCATCTGTTAAAATGGTTGAAGGGGTCTGTCAGTTCATTGAGGTGCTGGTTGCTGTTGCACTCCACCAGTCCATCATGTTTAAGTAAGCAGGTGACTGGGTGACATATACCTGTTGCCGTCAGATGGCTGTACAAAGTCACACACTAAAGGAATGGCCATCAGCATATAGCTACTAACTGTCAGTGATTGCTGAGCTGGTCGTTTTTATTGCCTCAAGTAGAACAAACCTTTTTGGATTGCATAATCATATGTCACTTGGTTGAAAAAGTTTAAAACTAAACACAAATAAAGGGTGATATATAGAGAGAAGTTTTTATGAGTGAAAAAACACATGTTAAAAAAAACACCAAGCAAAACAAAGATTAGGTAACAACGGTGCACTGAGCAGTCACCCTGCTCTGAGCAGGCTGATGGCAGACTGTACAAAATGCATTCATTTGTGGCACCGAGATTGCAGGACCTTGCCGAAGATTGTGCTAATCTGGCACAGTTAAGAAATAACCTCAGTGTGCTGAGAACTGCTTTTACGTTGTGTGCCGACAGGAATTAGGGAAGTGAGAGAACCGGCTTTTTTAGACCTATTTTAACTTTCAAACTAGAAATGATTCTGAAATTTTTGATATATACAGTATGTGCCCAGGTCGTGTTTTCAGTGAAAGATGTGGCTGTTCATAGAACTAGTTATTACTGGTCTAGAAGTAATGTAAAAGAATATTTTACACATGAGGTGTGAGGGTGGTAGGTGCTTGTAGGAAAGTAGTTGAAAAAATGTTTTCTGGCTACTGTTCAGAATGACCACATCAGGTAAAACACCTGTCCAAATGGGGTTTAATGCACACACACATAGACAGTTGCTTTTGGAGGACAATCATAATATCACACCGAGTTGTTTACATGGAAGGTGACAGAAAAAAAAAATCTGAGTTTGAGAGAGAGTAGTTAAAACTGTATTCCATTACATGTATGTAAGTATATATTTGCATTTGCAAATGCAGAATCCCTTCCCCATAGTGCAATAGGTCTCTGTTTAAGAATGAACATCACACTAAACTTTGAAATTGCCATGCCCTCCACCTCTAACTCTGCTTAGCGGCAGCCTCTCCTTTCCCCTTCCTTTCCCCTTCCTTTCCTTCTCTCCTTTTCCCCAGGTGGGCGTGAGCAAGGTGTGGGTGTGGCAGTGGGCAGGTGCAGCCAGCTGGACAATCACCTGAGTGAACACACCTGCAGCAGGGAGTGGTTCACCTGCAACTCATCACGTCTACAATAAAAGCCACACTCAGCCCACTATGTGATAGCGGACTGTAAGCTACGAAACGTTAGTTGTTTCCTGGCTCCAGTGTTTTTTCCATCTAACTCTGTCTCTCCTCTCACCTCAGTCTCGACCCTCTCTGCTGCTCCATCGTACCCGGTTTGTGTCTCCAGTCCGTCTCCCGTCTCTGATCTGGTCCTCTTTGGAATCCTCCCTGGCAAGACCCTCCACCTGTTTTCTGCCCCTGCCCTGATGCCATTCCAACCTCGCCACAGGTCTTCTTCGTTCACCTTCCCTAATCCCTCTCCCTGCTTTGGCTGTTGGCTAAGTTCACCAATCTCACACTGGGTCCTCTCTAGTATAGTTAGTCACACGTTTGAAGAGTGCGTTTTTTGGCCTTGCCATACTGGTGAGGGCCACATTGGTATTACTCCTTTTAGCTTTGTAATTTGTTGTCTATCTTGTATCCACTTTACTAGCTTGGTTCTACCAAGTACTGGTTAGTGTTTTGCCCTGCCTCAGTAAAAGCCATTCTCTCTACTTGTTTAGATTTGTAAAGTCTAATTTTTGTATTTGGAATAGTTTGGTGTTTCTCTGCCCGACCTGTAGGTGTCTCCTGAGGGAGTTCTGGCCTATCTATCGTTCTAGTAAATACGCTTGGTTTGCTGTGTCTTTGTCCGCACTTGAGTCTTTGAACCTGATGCGTGACAGAAATGTCAAGTTATAAACTCTTTTAGTTACTCAAGTTCGGTGCCTACTTTGCAAATAGCGTGAGTATAATGGCTACAAATATGATGCAGGGAAGAGAGATTCCACAATGTAATTTTGCACTTTAAGAAAAAAAAAAAAAAAACTACTCCCATTTTGCAAATGCTGTTAAAGAAGAAAAACAATGTCCAATAACTAAAACACAATTTTGTTTTGTCAGTGTGGTAACCTTGATGCAACAGTGACATTAATCTATTTAACGCATTTAAGCAAATCCATCAATTTTTTATTATATATTTTAATAAAAAGCCAAATTGTCTCCTAGTCTTACTACAAAGGTCAGGGATGACCAAGGTCAGACAGATAAATCTAGATCAGCATGACCAAAGCAAGAAGAGAACAGCAATGTCAATTTTAAAATCCACGTGTGTGTTGACGCATACAATGGAGAGCAACCACCCTAACATTAGTGCCACACAGAGGGGTGTGCTCTGAAGCATGTTTAAAATTGCCGGGCTTTCTTTGTAGCTCGCCACAACAAAATATAAAACCTCAGACAGAGATAACTGGTATCATGAAGGTGGTTATCATCTTTCTTTGTGAACTCGCAGACTTTTCGTTTCAAACTCTGTGTGTGTTTACACAATTTGACTTTTTTTTTTTGCACAAAATGAAACAATTGTGTGCAGCTGCTTTAATTAAGAGGTTGTTATAATGGAGAGCTACAAGGAATATAAAAAATGTATGACAGTAAAAAAGTGCTGCTTTTGCAACCTGTCTTGTTACAATTCAAGACAGGAATGCTGGTAAACTGTTTAACATGTGTTATGGGTATTCTAATGATCAATGCAGCTTCTTATTGATGACAGCCACACATTAAAGCTGTTCAACTTCAAGCTTCATATATTTAAGAAATGGTATCGTGTTGAAGTGCATTTATGTCTGATGTCCCTTAATGCAAGATGTCATTACATTTTTGCCAAATCAAAGTGAAATTAGGGTTACTGAATATTCTTTGTAATAAATACAAGGAGAATCAGTTATTTTCTTATTTGTTTTCTAACAGCTGCAGTACCAGCTGTGTAAATGGACCAAATACAAAAAAAACATTTGATTTCTGCATCAGCATCTAAATGTCAGGTTCCCATGACGAGGAAAACAAAAGTTAGCCCTTATGTCTTTTCAGCACTGTAGCAAGGCTGACAAACAGTCACAGCTCTGTGAAACGTTGCATTTCTGTAGAACTCTGCAGTGATAACTTCCTGACTTCTTTACAGGTAAAACTCTGACAATCAGAGAAAAAACACGGCTATCTCATTAGGTACAGTGGCTCTGGATGTGTCTGTAGGGCCTGATTTATATTTGGATGCCTTCTCTGCTATAAATCCCTCCCGAGTTATTACTGCTAGTGAGTAAACTACACCAGGAACATGTCCATTAGTTTTCATCTCAGCTAGACTGATGAGGTTTTTCCTTTAAGTTACACTTCAGTTTTAGGCATGTTCAACTTCTCTTTACTAACAGGAAACAGCAACCTTTTAAGGTTTCTGTAAAAATCAAAAATTCTTTACAAAGCTGCTACAACCCAATTATGTGAGCATACACATCCAAAAACGTGTAGTTTTAGTCAGGATTTAGAATCCATCATAGTACAGAAGTGGCACTGGTGAAGGTCACCAGTAATCTTCTCATAGCCTCAAACCGTGGACTCCTCTCTACACTGATCCTGCTGGATCTCAGTTCTGCATTTGACACAGCTGATTACAAAGGAGTCACACTAGGCTGGTTTAAATCATATTCCACAGGGTTCTGTTAGGACCTTGTGCATGTTTCCCTCGGGCAATATTGTTATTATTAGGAAACACTACATACAGTTGAAACCAGAAGTTTCCATACACTGCATAAATATACATGAAACCCTTTTTTCCCCCTCATTATCAAATTAAAGCTTTCCTGCTTTAGGTCAGTTGCGATTACCAAAATTGTTCAATTTGCTAAATGCCAGAATAATGAGAGAGAATTATTTGTTTCTTTACTACTTTCTTCAAAGTCCGAAGTTTACATACACTAAGATTACTATGCCTTCAAACTGTTTGGGGAAGCCCAGATGATGTCATGGCTTTGGAAGCTTTCGATAGGTTAATTGACAACATTTGAGCTAATTGGAGGCACATCTGTGAATGTGTTTTAAGGCACACCTCAAACACACTGCTTCCTTTTGTGACAACATGGAAAATCTATAGAAATCAACCAAGACATCAGGAAGAGAATTGTGGACCTCCACAAGTCTGGTTTATCCTTGGGTACAATGTCCAGATGCCTGAAGGTTCCACCTTCATCTGTTCAAACAATTATACATAAGTATAAACACCATGGGAATGTCCAGCCATCACAGCGCTCAGGAAGGAGACGGGTTCAGTGTCCCAGAGATGAAGTGTTGTGGTGAGAAATGTGCATATCAACCCCAGAACAAAAACAAAAGACCTTGTAAAGATACTGCTGAAGCTGGAAAGAGAGAGTCATTATCCACAGTGAAACCAGTCCTGTACCAACATGAGCTGAAAGGCTACTCAGAGAGGAAGAAAACATCACTCCAAAAGAAACATAAAAAAGACAGATTACAGGTTGTAAATGCACACAGGGACAAAGACCTTCATTTTTGGAGACATGTCCTGTGGTCTGATGAAACTAAAACTGAACTTTTTGGCCGCAGTGACCGTCGTTGCATTTGGAGGGAAAAGGGGGAGGCTGGCAAGCCTGAGAACACCATCCCAACTGTGACTGTACACTTCTAGATTTAGTGTAAAACACAAATATAAAAGTGGGCAAAACAAACATGACTATTACAGCTGATTTAAAGGTAAATGGTCTGCACTTATATAGCACTTTTCTACCTTGGTGGTGTGCTTTACAATGTTTTCTCATTCATCCATTCACACACACACATTCATACACCAATGGCGAGAGAGCTGCCATACAAGGCGCTAGCCTCCCACTGGGAGCAACTTCAGGTTCACTGTCTTGCCCAAGGACACTTCAACTGTGGAGGGTTGGGGGATTGAACCGAATCACAGTTTTATGCATGCAAACACAGCTAATATAACTTAAATGCTGACTTTACTGAACTTCAAAAAGCTTTTTGATGAATCCTGTACTCAATTTTGTTGTCGGCTTTTTACTTTTACCCTTTTAAAATAGCAACTTCACCAACCCGTATTTTGGAAATCACACACACACACACACACACACACACACACACACATATATATAAACTCTAAAAACAAATCCAATTAAAAATTGAATAAATTCTTTACGTCAATTATAATTTCAAAGTTTCCTTTTCACTGTCTTTAAATATCTGAAATGATCATTTTGGGACGAGCCACTGATCTGCTCTGTCCCAAGTGCAGGGCTACAAGTTGGTAGTAAAGTTATTTTCGCTAAAACAATAAGGGATCGGTCACCTGATACCCCTGGCTCTGTATCTGACCTAATTAATAAAATAAGTCCAAACTTACCGATGTGACTAGCCCTGACGATGGAATTAAAACCTCCTCAGCCATTTATGAATTCTGTCACGGAGTTCAAAACAGCAAACAGTAGGAGGGTTTCTCTCTACACTGCAGACAGTCTCATTGCTGTAGTAGCAGGCGTGGTCACACAGGCTCCAAACCACAGATTGAAGTTGTTGCGCTGGTTCATTTGCAGTGTGTCAGGCCTTTTCTCCACTGAGTAGCAGTCCACAGGCCCTCAATAACAAGCCCACACAGTGTCATCACATGACGAAGAGCAGCGTGACGGACTGAGAGAAAAGTCTGCTGGAAGCAATTAGCCCTAAGTGAATTTACAAAGAAAGAGATAGAGGAGAGAAGACAGAGAGATGAGGAGAGGGAAAAGGATGAATGGGAAGGAGAGGAGAAAATAGGAAATGAGGGAGAGAGGCAGGAGAGAAGAAGAGGACAGGAGTGGAGAAAATTAAGGAGGGGAAAAGGAAGGCAAGAAGGGCAAACAAAGGATGGGAAAGCAGTAAGAGAGGGAGAAAAAAAAGGAGAGAACACTTGTGGAAGAGGAAATAGATGATAAAGATAGCGTCAGAAGAATAGGGGTAAAGGGGGAACTAAAGAGAGAGAAGGTGAGGTGAAGTGAGCAAGACGAGAAAGGAGAAGTGAGTAAATGGGAATGGGTGGAATTAAAAGGAAAGAGTAAAGGAGATTAGAGCAGGGCAAAGGAAAGAATGGGGAGGTGACACTTTTTTGTATTACACAAATGAATGGAGAGTCATGGATATTGAGTAAAAGACACCACAATGGTTCACAAATTAACTTGTGAAGTAAAGTATATGTGATTCATAGTAAATTAGAGAAAATGTGCAAAACCACAAGTTTGGTCCTTGAAGTAAACTTGTACACTTCTTACCTCTTTACTGGTCTCATTGTTATTTTTTTTTCTAAAGTAAGGAAATAGAATACCTCCTCCACCACTGCACAGTCACACCATTAATTGTCAAATGCATTTTACCCAAAATTAACCTCCAAACCATCCTCTAGCAATCACATAGATCATGTGCTCACAATTTGTGTTGCAGTTAAAAGAAGCAGGACAGTGTTCTCTGTTACTGAACACTGGCTAAAAACCACCCGCTTCGCATTACACATGTCTTAATCTCATGACTTTACCTCCACTGCTGCGGCATGAAAGACTGGTTTTGTTCAGAAAATTCTACTTTTTGGCACCAACATTCTCTCTATTCCATTCAGTTATTATTACTGAACTAGATATTTGGAAATTCCACCCACTGGCCTGAGACCTGCAACACTGTATGTCACGAGCAGATCCAAGTCTAACTGGGTATTCAGATGAGGTTGTGATTTTTCATGTAAGAAGTTTTATTTGCCAAATAAAACACCTCACAGGCAAAATGGAAACATTTCTATTTCATAGATTATTTAACTGAAAGTCTCATTTAAGAATGTTTTCTACTGTCTGTAATCAAATTCCTTGAAACCTGCAATTGTTACACAAATCATTGCCTGCTGCTTTTCAGCCAATGACAGGCTAACGTGTGCTTTCATACAGAAATTATACAGAGCTAGTTAGGGTAGCTGTTAGGAGTATTAAGCATTGGGTTTATGTTCTATGTCTGTCAGAATTTTGCCAGCAAAAGCATTTTGCTTAAGGTCCAGAGAGAGTTACATATGGAAAGAATAGACATGTCCTGCCTCATGAGAAAGCTGACTTTTCCTGGCACCCACTCTTAAAAATAAAACAACGAAATACATAATTTGCCCATCTGCAGCTATGGCTGAGTTAGAGAAATCCAACCACAATTCAAACTAAGCAGTGCAGTCCCCAGCACCTCCTATCCACATATCAAAGTGTGCTTGGGGAAGACAGCCAATCCTGAGCATTGTTGGTTGTAAAATCTGATAGCAACAGGAAGGAAGGACCTACAGGAACTCTCCTTTACACACCAGGTGAAACAGTCTGTTACTTCAGGAGCTGCTCAATGTTGCCAGTGTCCCACAGATGGTGAAACATATTCTCCAATAGGGATGACAGCTTAAGCAGCATCTTCCTGTCTTCCACTACCTCCTCTGGGTCAGTGGGGGCAATCCAGAGCTGGCTTTCTTTACTAGCTTGTTAACTGTATAGCACTTGCAAACCCCACTGTAGGCTACTAGCCTAATGAATAACAGGTAGTTAGAAGTTCTCATCACAGAAATTCAGTTTGGAGAGTGTGAAGTCCCTTGGAGCCAGTGTTTCTGACAAGCTGTCATGGACTGCCAACACCTCAAACCTAGGCAAGAAAGCCCAAAGAGACTCTTCTTCCTCATAAAGCTGAGAAAGGCCCAACTCCCACAGGAATTGATGCTACGCTTCTACCAGAGCACCACCAAGAGCATCCCCATGAATTGCATCACCATGTGGTGTCTGAGCATCACAGCTGACATAGAAAAGAGGAAAAATGCATCGAGGAGGAAAAAGTGGGAGAAAACCTGGAGGACCAGGTTCCATTGCACAGGAAAGGCAGGCCAATGAAGAGGAGGGAAATGGTGCTCCTGAAGTGGTAGAAAGTACTGAGGGTGAAGGTAAAGAGCCAACCCTGACAGACGTGGTGGCCATTTTTTGCGCTCACATGGGGCAGCACAAGACCCGAGAGGCAAGGCAGAATGAAGTGACTGTAAGACAAGAACAGTGTTTTAAAGGACATCAACATCAGTTTCAGCTTTTACAATCAGAGGTGCTGGCCGTAACATCTCCATTGTCAGATCCCCTGCCAGCAGTCTTTGAAACTTTAGCTTTGGAGTTTCAGTCATCCACTGTGCACCCTTTTGTTATGCCCCGGTCTAGGGGAACCTTTAGCACAACATGAATTTTGCTCCACACCAGTCTTTCCACTTCAAAGACGGCCAGCAATCAGACAAGCCAAGTATCAAAATGAGCAGTTTCTTTATTTTTACAGTAAAGAGTTGGACATGGGCCAAAATAACAAACAAAACAAACTCTACATTAACCCTGACTTCCCTATCGGAAAAGAAAAAGCAAATAAAAGACAATATCTTACCTACCTACCTAATAAACAAAAAACAGGAGAAAAAGAGTTTAAAAGAAAAGGCCTCTCCCTCCTACTCTGCTCTCTAGCTACAATATTTACAAAGATTCACCAAAAGACACAGAACCTGTAACACACGGCTACGACTACAAACAAGTTACTGCAGCTGCTGCATCCTCCTGCAGTACAGTCTCAATGGCATGCTGGCTTTCTCTGAGGTGGTGAGGCTGGAGGTGAGGAGACCGAGTGCAGCTGGGGGGCTGTTCAAATAGTGGATGGGCCCGACCCCTGACCAATGGCGCGGCTGGAATCAGGCGAGGCAGCAGGCGAGACAGCCAATCCAGAGTCACCACCTGCTCCTAATCCATTCACTCAAAAACCACACACGCACACACACACTGAGGAAAGAAACAAGCAGCAAAAACACAAAAATACTATAGATGACCCACAGGGTCACAACACTCTGCAGGCCCAAGCTGAGCCTCTGATTACCAATTCAAGCATGGCCCCTACAGGTCAGTTTTGCTCACACCGTGAGCCCAGATTGGAAAAACTATTCGATAATGATGACATTGAGCATTTTCTTTAAACATTTGAGTGTACTGCTGTAGCATGCCGGAGGCAGAAAGCAGACTGGATTTTTCATTTAATCCCCTTGTTAACTGGCAAGGCGAGAAGTGCATATGTACATATGGACATTGATGACTCCCTTGATTATGACCAGGTTAAATGTGTTATCCAAACTAAACATGACATTAACCCTGAGACCTACTGGTAAAGATTTCACTCCCTAGAGGTCAACTCTGATGAGAGTCCCAAGGAGCTATATGTAAGGCGTGGGGCAATGAGACTGATGCACACTGACACAGCTCTATTGTAGAATGAACAGAGCTGTGTGTGCTGTCCACTTATTGCCTTACACATATGGACATGGAAAGCATGAATATTGTAAGATTGTGAAGGCCGTATTGATATTAAAAATGTTCTTATTTCCTCTCCTCACCAGCTGCATATCTGCATAGCTGTAGAGGTTGCATTACTGGATCTTTTTCAGCCTTCTGCTCACCTGCCTTTACTTCACTCATTACTTCTCCTAGTAGATATGCTACCATTCAATCTTCAACAAACTGTCTTTGTGCTCTCCATCTGAATTTGACCTCAGCCTGTTAAACTGGACTTAATTTTTGCCGGATCACTTTGTCCTTGTCAACCTGCCTTGTCTCAAGTAATCAAGGACCTTCTGTTCGACTGTCTGTGATGTGCCTCAAACTTTTTTTTTTTAATCATATGGATATTTAGTTAGTATCTAAATTCAGCTTGGTATGTCAAGTACTTTGAGATCTTTGTTCTTTAACAAACTTCCTGTCAATCCACTGTCAGCATGTTTTTTTTGCACATTGAAATTTGAAGCTATGTAACCAAAAATTGTGATAATTCAGAATTCAAGTTGTGATATTTTCTAGGACGTATGTAGTTGCATGTCACAAGCAATCAGAACAAAACATTCCAATTATTTTTAATATAAAATATTTGGTCATGAAAAAAAAAGTTCTGCTGAACTTTTGTAACTGAGCAGGTCTGACGTGTTGCACCACAGAAACAAAAGTACTGGTGGCCAACAGATCTATGTATTATTATTTATTGTTTATTTGATGTGGACATCACAATTACATTGGACAAACCAGATGCATTGTTTGAGTGTTTTAGCACATGTGCTAATTCCCCACACTTGTCCACAGGAGGCTTCTGAAATGATAAAAGTAATAAAAGTAAAAACAAACAACAACAAAACAAAACAAAACAAAAATACAGTGTACAATAACATTCCAACAGTAAAAGAGAGAGGCCATTTCTCAGGTTAAAAACATTTATAAGCCACAAAGCAAAGGCAACATGGTCAAGCAGTCAACCAGTTAAGACTATTCATGTGAGCACTGTTGTTTTGAGCCATTGTTTGAGTCCTTTGTTAAAAGCATTCCTGTTGCTCTCTAATTTTAGATTAGTGGGTAGAGAGTTCCAAAGTTTTGCCCCCTTTGCAGAGAGGGTG